TATATATTCTTATGTTTATAATAATGAGAATAATTTTCTTCGTGAGGCAAAGCGCACGATTTACAATATAGATTAGGCTGAAAAAATTTTAAAAATTTATCACCTCATGTGGAAAGTCATTGCTGGTGTCCCCGGAACTTCGATGCAAAAACTAGCGACTTTGTTTTAAAAAGTGGGGTATTTAACTCGAATTGCGTCTTACAGATCAGCCTCAATGGTAAGACTTTTGAGACTATTTGTTTTTTTTAATTTTTGGGTCTCCAAAGCTTTTAGAATGATATTAGTTCAAAGTTTAGGAATGCTGGTTCTTTTTTTGTTTTACATCAGGTTTAAGCTAAACAAGTAAACACATACTAGTAGCATCTTACTTACAATTACTAGAAACAAGTCATTTGCAAATACAGGGAAGGAACTTTTAAAGATGTCTTTAGTTAGCCCGTGAATTTTAGATCGTACTAAATCCGATTTTTCGTTGCACTAAAAAAACACGTCCGTAAGGTATGCACAAAAACAACCATCGAAATACCTGTTTTCATTTAGATATGGCTTAACGTAGTTTTTTTTCTAACTTCTTCCGGATAACTAGATCTAAATGGCCAGCCTAACTTCTATATTTCGAGTGTTAGGGCTGGTATCACCGTTAGGCATTTGGCCGAACAGAAGGCTAGCTCCTAACATGAAACGAGGTCTGTCTATGTCCGGGTTCGAACTTATACCACAACGTGTCCCCAAAATTAGCACGCAGATACGTTACCCACTAAGGTATCATGTTGGTGTAAATTTAAGTTCTAAATCTGGTCAGCTGGTTTCGCATAATGTAAGGTTACGTAGCTTCTTATACAAGAAATCTATGAGCACATTCCGATTTAACAGCTCAATAAACTCTCCCTTTGCGGGACATATTTTTGTCTTGGAAACCGAGATCCTTGACATGCAAAACTCGTTCCTTTGCTTGCATCCTATACGTTGGATATAAAGAGAGCACATGAATGTGGCCTTTGACCTAACTCTCGTATGCTGGCAAAATAAAGCTCGATTCGGCACTACAGTATCAAAAAAACATGATCAATCAAAGCATAGGTTTTGTAGGTGGTATCTATTAAGGGGTCTTATGTGGTGCTTCATCTGTCGTAAACAAACAACTATATGGCGCCATTTGGTCCCACGAATCGCCTTTAATACTGTTATGGAATACTTATGAAGTTCTGAAACTTTACTAATTGCATAGAATCAGTTAACAGTGGCTTCGTTTTGTATGCTCCGTTATAAACCTACATACGCTAAACCGGAAGGTGAACTTTGAACGTTCAGTCAGCTCGCTGGAATCTTTCGATGAATTTCAACTACAGAGGAAGCAGTGGTGATTACGATAATGTATACTTGGCATATGTAGTCTAGATGAAGCTGTGGTTACGAATAGCGTGTACATTGTTGCCATGGGGTAATTTGCGCCGAGCGTTCGTCGGGTGAGGATGAAAAATTATTGTGAATATGTGTGCTTGTAATAATATAGGACCTTCTCCCTAAAATGAAATCAGTCCAATGATCGGGCTCCTGATAACATTTGTATGGCCGGCAATACCCACAGGACTACTGTACGACTAGTACGACGATGCTTTAAAGTCCTACGTTTAAGGAGAAATAACATAGGCTTTAGGAATGAGTTCGAGGTTCATTGTACAAGGTAAATACGACCAAAAATATGTTAGGATTCTACAAGCAAGCGCTTTTCAAAGCCGAAATGTGTTTTTTTTTTCAAAATATCCCATAACTAAACGTGAGTTTGAGAAAAACTAACGAAGACTACATATTGTCACCAATAACAATATTATCGACACTGATACTACTTAATCAGCAACCCTGTTTTGTGTCAAGTGACCATGATCGCGAAAAACATGATTATTCTATTACATATTTTATACTAAACGTATCTTTTTTCATGGCTAACGTCTTGCAAAATCGACGTTGTGTTGTTTATTGCAATAATCCCTAATGTGGCAGAAGTAGACGCATCCGAAGAACCAACAGGGTCTCCTTCACGGCTGCACCGTGAGCCTTCACCGCTTCTTCAGTCGCCACCAACCAGTGACGATGAAGCAACCTCAGAGGATCGTCAAAGACCAAAGTACCACTCAAACTCGGATTGTCTTACCAAACTTGAGTTGCTGGGGTGTGCTGCATGCGGTGAATGCTTTGAAAGCTCTGAAGCCCTTGTGGAACACCAGGAGCATCGTTGTGCAGGGCTTTCATCAGGTAAAAGCAGTCTGATGCCCGTCCTGTCTTACAACCCGTTTGTCTTTAGGAAGGACTATTTACACATATATTAAATATTTCGATAGATGATTTCGATGAAACAGATTCCTCACATTTTAAATTTCCTTTTTTAATAATTCTTCGAAAAAGAACCCAATAATGATCATCGCAGAGAAAAAATCCTTTAACAAGCAATTTAATATTAATAATGATTTCTCTAAGAACAGGTTTTGGTTGTTCAATCTGTACATGTTTCCAAATTGATAGTACCCTTACCATTCTTTGACTATCATTTAATGCAGGAGAACTGTTAGCACTTTAATTTTGCGTCTGCTTAACAGATGCCGAATGCGAAGAGGAGTTGACAAACTTTGGCCCACCTCCACGACCGTTCATTGCGTGTGCAAAATGTCCGGAACTGAGCTTCAATGGAAGGTGTGACCTAATACGCCACCTCAAGGGACATCGAAAATGCAGTATTGGTAAAAACAAGTGCAATAGTTCAGGCGCTGGCAAGGGACGTGCAATTTTTGTGAAGATGATTTGCCTGTAAGTACCGAATATGTCGTTCGTATCACATCATTGTCGCGTCTTTGTGTCCGGCTGACGTTTTTCTTTTATCATGATCTTTATGCTCATACAATTACGCACAAATACATATTTTCAACGACTAGACTCTGTGAAATGTCCGAATTTATCAAGGTACTCTATATAATTAATCTTAATGTGATTACCAATTAAGGCAATTTCGATATGAGTACAGCCTGGATATTCAAGTGTCTAGTACAGTATATATACATACAACTGTATATACTTTACAGCATACGAGATGAAATAAGAATTCTATACAATTACAAGAAAATCCAAGATACATTTGGTGATTTTCATATGTCTGCAGATGTCAGCTGAGGCCTTGCCGGTGTCCAACGCGATCTCATAAGAAGATTCGTCCTGTGACTGACGGTAGCCACAGCGGCTCAGCTGGCGCAGTCCTCTGTAACATGTGCTTTGCGGGAAAACTCTCGTTGGACAAGGAGACTGATGTTAGTGCCAAGAAGGAACGAGCTGAATCAAGCCCTTCGGCTTGTGTACACTGTGCAATGTACGCATCAGAAACACAAAGACACCAGCAGTAGCGGGAGTGACAGAGAAGCTGTAAGCGTTTTGCGTAACAGAAAAAGACAACTATTCATAGCAGTATTATGTAAAACAGATGTGGACGACCGTTGGGTACCAACTTGCGATTACGTTTACACTATCTCAGTTAGATGGGGTTAAGAAATGGGGAAAGAAAATTCCGGAAGTTTTGTGCTACTGTTTTTGACAGTGGAGAAAAATGCATTTACCACACGAAATACGATGAATCTCAAATATAATGCGCACCAAAGATAGACTAGTAGTAAATATCTTCGTAGGAGACGGGCCAAAACAAAAACGAGCTGTATAATTTTATTAGTATTCGAAAACAGCGAGGACAGAGAATTATGCTGGTGTTTCAGATGTTTTGTATTAAGCGTAATATGATTGTGGGATTAGGTATTGCCTATGTAGTGAATGTTTATCATGACTGTCGGAAAATAAAATTTTGAAAGCGAATGATCGTGACGCTATTTAAGGATTCACAGTACTCATGTGTACAAACAGTATAAATTTATTTAGATAGCAAAATTAAACGAAACATGAGCTGGTACTGAGTGCTCTATGCTGATTTAGGTATTTGTGTATATAGTATGTAAAGTGAACAACAGTAATGTTATTAATAATATTCTAAGATAGAGTACACGATTCTTTTTTGGTGATGATAGAGGATCCACTTGACAGAAGTGAATAAAACACTCAAACGTTTAACGTCAATATGCGTGTGTGCATTTGCGTTTTTAATAAAACGATTTGTTGTAAGCAATAGGAGCTTGAAGTTGACAGCACTTCTGTGCACTGCTCGGTCAGTGCAGTCATAGGACACGTAAGTTGACTCGCTATTAATATCCTTTTGCCTTCGCCCAGTTCTCATTAATTTGTAACGTAAGGGAACTCTTAAGTGTACTGTAGAAAAACTTCTACTGTTTCTAGGACATCTACCCTATAAGCTGCGTTTTTTTGACCATGTGAAAGGAATAACTCCTGATGTACCTGGTTTTTCATCTATTTATTACAATAGTCTAAAACACACATCTGTATTGTAATTCGCACTCGGAAGGAAGATGAATACATGTCACATTCACTTTTGGAATATTCGTATACGGGGTCATTATTTTTGAAGGCAACTATAGAGGAATTCACTTGGAATTAGACTTACTGAATTGTTCTCAACCCCTTTAGTTTTACATCGCGCGTGCTGTTAGATTATCGGTGCTTATCAATTTTCACGTTGTTACCACTTTTCGCGACAAAATTTTATATGACCAATATACCCTAGACCGTATTCATTTGCAATAAACAGTATATTCTTCCAGATAAAGACGCAGTTGGTGGATGCAGATCTTCCAGTACTTAAAATAGTATCATAGCTTGAATATTACACTCTGACTAAGCTATCGCTCGCGCCTGGATTTAACTGAAAATGTTTTAAAAGCGCTAAGCCTAGACGGTCCGGCCACAAGTCTGCTATCGGATGGCGCAATTGGAGTATCAGAATAAACGTTTATGGCGCTCTCTGTCAGTTCAAAATCGACCAAAGTTCATGACAGTTCGGTGTTAATTGTATAAAACTTTACAATCTTATTGGGACAACATCTGGATTTCATTTACCTATGTTCTTTATCGAACAGGCACACATTCAAAATCAAAAAAACGTAACTTTGAAAGTCGATGATCTTCATAATGATGATCACAACGCGACATTTTCTTTATTATGCAGATCACCGAGAAAAACTCAGGCTTCAACTTCAGCGGGTATCTAGTGTCGTTGTTTAAAACAGTTGATTGTGTTGAAACAGAAGGTGTAAGAAGTTTGCTCAGGTTATCAACCCACAATTACAAGGCTTATATTTCTAACGTAGGAAACTGTTAATACTCTACACACCTTATGTCCTGGCTATACTGTTTAATATAGTACATGGTTAGTCATCAAATATCTGTACTATATATTCACCTTTTAACATTCTACAAACATTGCCGGTTTTCGGTGTTGAGTTGTAAGCTAATAAACCACTAAATAATTAGCCACGTCTGATTTCTGAACGTGTCGCAACAGAGAGACGCAAATAAATTAAACAGAAATGATCACTAACTTGTATATTCTCAGACATATTCGTTTGATTGAATGAATGAATGTATGGGCAGTTTGTGAAAAGAATAACTCCTCAATGAATATGAATGATGTAATATTTAAAGACTAATTGCTCCCGACACGCAACGCTAGTGTAGTGTACCTTATTAGGCTCCAACGTGCATGTCGTGAATCTATCTTGCTCTTGTGTTTTTCCTTCTTAGCATGATTAATACTACCCCGCTGGATAATTGTTTTACGTTTTTGTCGTGCTCTTTTTTTACTAAGATCACAATGGCAGATATCTGGTGTCTAATGATTATTCGATGGGTGCTGGCTATTTCGTAAACGTTTTGTCTGAACGCCTACCATTGATTATACAATTATTACCTGCTACAGCGATGTGATACTGTTGGCAACGTGACGCGAACTGAAATAGTTCGCAGGTTGGTATAATAGAGGTTGACGACTTTACTTTTTATTAGTACATTTTTTTTTTCGAAGCCGTGTAGCGTTCCTGATATGCGTCCCATCCCTGAATTTGATGAAGCTCTCGTTCTTCAAAAAGATTCCCTTCGAGAGAAAGCGCGTTGATTCCAGAAGAAGAGAGCAACTCCGATGGTATACCGTCCAGTGTTAGACAGTTCTCTTGAACCCGCAGAATCTTGTAAATTCACAAACGACAATGCATAGGACTATAAGCTTGTGCATATAGACCAAAAATGGCACTAGGCACAATGTTTGAGGAAATCGATAAAAAGTAATAGTTATAAGTGAGGTAAGAAAAAGTATCGATTGTGTAACAATATGGAGTACCGTATGATATGCAGCTTGATTTATACTACTTTTATCTGTAGCTGAGTTATTTTTTAAATAATCAATTAATCATAAATGTCAGTGTAGGCTTACTTTAAGTCGCGGACATTTTGCCAGATTAGTTGGTAGTACCGCTAATTGGTTTGAGTTTAACAAGAGCTCGCTGCAGTTCAGTGACCCCAGTTGTTCGCAGTCCGCCATTTCACTGATTGCATTAGTTGACAAATCGAGCACATCTAATATAGGCAGCTTGGCTACCTGAAGAGGAAATTTCTTCAATTTGTTTTCACTCAGGTTCAAAGCTTTCAGTGCGGACAATTTACCAAAATCTGGAGGAAGATTCTGTGTACACAGTTACAAAGATGGAAAATGAAGTCATATTAGACACCTGTTAACATATATTCATTGTAACATCTAGAAGCAACAAAATCGATTTTTCAGCGCCTACTAAACATCGTTCCGAAGCACTGGAGATACAGTTATAGCCGTTGTCTAGCCGAATAGTTTTACGGTGAAGTTCTCGAGTCAGGCCACCTCTTATCTTTGAGAAACCCAAATATTATGCCTTCATATTGCAAAGACTATTTTTTTATATAAATATATTAATTTACTAGTCGTTTTTCTTTCTTTTTTACTTTATTTAATGAACAACGGAGTGTTTCATGTGCATTTTTCTTCATTGATTCGTGTACATACCCCAAGATGGTTAGCAGCCATGTTTAAAATCTCCAGTTTTGCAAGCTGGCATATGGCATCCGGTAGCTTTATGATTTTGTTATGTGACAAATTGAGAACCTTGAAAAAGGAAAGGATCATATAGGATAGGTTGTCGTTACCGGTGAACACTATTCTGTAGTATATTTCCCGTGCATGCCTTTTTTTCGCACTATGTAACCTTCTATAAACAATTTTAAGTTCCTAATCATTAAGCCTTCTTTATTCAACTACACATGTTTGCCGATTTATATTGATGGCGGGGCCTCAACTAGCGGTCCGTCGTTTTCTCGATTGCAGGTTTAACCATATAAGACACCGCATCAATTACTGCTTGTTAGAAGGCCCATTCGTTTGTCACCTAAGCCTGAATGATCGCAAATACATTCTGACAAAATCAAAAAAATTAACTGCAACACATTTTGTTTAATGACAAAAATCTAGAAGAAACTTACTTTCAAATTACAAAGCTGTCCTATTGCATCAGGTATAAGCTTTAGCTTATTATACGACAGGTCCAGTGATCGCAGTTTTGCTGCAGGAATCTGCAGCGGACATTTTAGGACACCAAAAATTTTCTAGTTAGGAGACGCATTTTTGTTTTATGCAAGTCGTGTCAAAATCGAAGTAACTAAAGAGACAAGCGTAGCGCCTTTTACAACCCATTTTGCTGTAATGAAGATAGGCTGTTATGTCAGCTGTAAAAACAGTTAGCTAAGATCAATCAAGATTTTTTCCGCTGAGATCCTAGTAATACCTTCATGAGTTAAATAATGATGCGTAAAATTAAATCACAAATGTCAAAGCGATGCGCTTTTCATAGAAAGCTCCAAAATAAAATACATTACCAAAGGCAACCTTTGCATCTGAATATGAGTCACGATGTTAGCTATCTTTTTTATTTTTTTTTGAAATTTTTGGTTGTTTTGGGGAAAAGAATACCAATTGCCTATTAGGTGATTGAAATCTCCAACAGTTAGTTTTTTTGTACCTTTTAAACTTTTTGGCCGCTTTAAGCTCTGTATTTTTAGATCTTTTAGCCTATTATCACCAGAAAATACCACCAGTTTCGCTTAAATTTTTGTATGTAACGTTTCTGAGCGGTACCTCGAGGATTTCATGGCTACTGATACGGCTTAACGCATGCATACTATTAAAAAACTAATTTCAAATAAATAAAAATATGTTTTAAAATGACTAGTTGCTGTTTAATACAGGTAAATAGTAGGAATCTTCAATGAACATTCAAAATTTGCAAAACATTTCGTTCAGATATATACAGTTTTATTCAGATACAAAATTAGAAGTCACTCATAAGAAAATATCTGAATTTAATTGGCCCCACTTTGTACAGCTGTTGACCCAACATGCGTGTCTTTTCAAGAGATCTAAAATTAACAATTTTTCAGGCTTAACTGAATGCTACACTTAACTAGTTAGATTAATCAGAGGGATTCATGGTTTAAAAAAAAAAGTTATTTCAGACTAGATAAACCGTTCATTCCGGACTAATTTCACTGCAATTACCTGCAATTCGGCTGCTGGGAACTCTTTTATTTGACATTTAGACAATGAACAGACGCCTGTCTTTTCAGCGTGCTCCAATCGAGGTTTCAATGTGTTGCCCATCGAGAAACGTAAATGCAGATCGACTTTTAAAAACACTCACGCGAGCCAAAAAACGCACAGGTGGATGTGAATCTTACCACAAACTTTCTGCTATGTTAGGTCATCACATATGCAAAGTCAGGTCACTGCAATCAAATAAAGGCGAGATGGTATTAATAGTGAAAATTGCAGTGCTTGAGTGTTCTATGTTACTTAAATCAGATGATACGATTGATGGCGTGTTTATGGCGTTGATACATTATTTTCGATGCGAAGTAACTAGTAAGTTCGGATTTTTGCCATCTAATTTAACGTCGAAGTTTCTATCAACTCCACTGAACAGTAATACAATATCTTTACGTCAGGAGTACTGAATTATAGACTTTGAATTGTACGCTAAATACCTTGTGTTATTCTTTATACTAATTAGCCAAAATATTTTAATTAGTTGAAATAAAAGCAAAGACAAAAACTGGTTCGTGACGCTTATATAAATGAGTGAAACAAAGCTCTGGTAAGGCAAATACCGCTTAAGTCGCATCAGGCTATTTTCGAATTCCTGTGGAGGGCGTGTAGTCTAAATGTTGTTCCCTGCGATCCTGCAATCGTTCTTCAGGGTTGATTCTTTATCTATAATCTCGAGGATAGAAGTTTGTATTTCCACATCATAATAGCTATGATATTTAAGGTCCGCTATCTAGGAAAGAGTCCAGTGTGCTCTCAAGTTGCTGTGTCACAACCATTGAATGATCTTATTTCAAAGGTATTTATGTTTAGAAATCTAAGCCCCGATAAAAACATGACGGCGAAGGTTGTCTATACGGTTGCTCGGAATCTACAGTGCCGTTCAAGACCATCACTATACTAATTAATTCGTAACAATTATGCCACATTTGATATGCTACTCAATAATATTTAATACCTGTCAAATCGACACAGTATGTACGCCGCCGGCTTCGGCGCATCGGGAGGTTAATACGAAATCTAATTATTCAAGGCTACTCTTTACACGAGGCAACAAATTTGTGTACGGAATATAAAAAAACTATTAGAAGTTTTTTTAGATTGCAAGATTGATTTGAGAAGCAGGTTTGTTTGAAATAGACTGAATCGATGCTAATTTCCAACAGCAATTGTTAATCAGTTAATAAAACTCCACTGCTCAATTGTCTGACTTAGGATGCATAATTACCTAAGAAACGAAATTTTGCATTGAGGTGTAAAACACATATATTAACTGCATACTTAGAATATTTCACCTACATGAAATGCGTATGAAAGTACACCATGGTTTGTCATTGCATTCATGAATAATATACTGGATACGAGATTTTGAATTTTTTTTATACATATATTGGCTTTTCAACTTTACCATGCATACAGGACTTATTAAACCAATAAAAACAGAACTAACTTAACACAGAAGCATCACGAAAAAAAAAATTGTAAAATATGCCGTACAAACTGTCGATATATTGTTTATTTACTGGGTTCTATAGTCTAAAGTAAAGTGAGACGATTTTGTGCCTTACCAACGAAGATGGAAATTGTTACCACACGCATGTGTCAGCTAAATAAGAAACTAGAGCTGATTTGTTCGCGGATGGATGTCACCCAGTGTAGGGCTGTTACCTTTCTGCTCTCTATCTATTCAACAGCTGAACGAACTCGATGTTTATTTTTGTCAGTATTTACGTATGGCTCTAGTTGAAATTTCGGTTCCGACATTTTGTTATCTAGCGGAAAGACAGCAACGCTGTCGAACTTTTCCGACCGCAATGTAAGGTTCCATAATTTCAAATAGATGTAACGGTTTGCTCAAGACGGTCGTACGTAAAACACAAAGCAACTAATTTAGCGGCCCTCACTTATTTCCTATATTTATAAAAGAAAAATGAACGATGCAAAGGATTAGAGAAAAATGCGACAACAACTGAAGATTTGGCCTGCTTCTTCATTTTGAAGAAGATATTAGAATTGTAGAATTTATTTCAATTCAACAATTCTAATAAATTCTTGCGGATTTAATTCAAGCTTAGTTCAAGAAGCTGATCTACTAAGGGAAATGACTTAACTGTTTAATTGATTGAATAACACTTATCACTTCTGCATTTTTACTAGCAGGACTAAAAAGAAATGCATCTGGGTGTTTATTGTATCATGGAGATTTAGTGAGGTTACCAAGAGCATTTTTCAATTCATTTCGACAAAAAGTATCGTTCGCATGAAGGCCCTGTAGAATTTGAATACAGCTCGATAATGCGTCAATTCACACGTGGCGCCACTCTGTTTTGGTAGATCGTAATGGGTGAATGAGCTCGCGCTTTATTCAGCCTTGCATAGGGGCATGAGTTAGATAATAGAGTATACTTGTTATGTTTAGTCTTCTGTCAGGGCCTACAAGCAAAGTTAGGGAGGTATAAATATGTTTGCATTTACTCAATGCGACACTGTAAACGGCAACGCGATGTTTCTACACGTCTACAAGGCTTTTACCTAGCACCATTTTTAGCATAGAAGAAGTGCGTAATACATGCTTTAAGGTGCTTTGCATGGGCGATTGTGGTGCTCTATTCAAATATTCGAAATTGTCACACCTAACGACGGGCGGTATTCTCTTTACGGCAGTGCTCTTTATACCTTACTGTTATGGTGGAAATTCGTCCCTATCTAGTCATAGTCCGTAAGTATATTTAAACATCTAAACAAAGTAGAATATGCCAAAAATACGAGACAAAAAATGCCAAAAGAGTATGACAGAAAGATTTAATCAATTCCTGTAGCACCTTTCGTTAGCGATTTCGAAAATTGTATTGCAATATATTTTTTCAGTCTTGATGTATCTCGATAGTCTATATATTAATGTAACAACTACGAACTAAAATGTTAACTCCACCAGAATATTTTTTAATATATTAGGTGTTTTTCGCCTCAGCATCCCTCGGCAGTTCAACGCCGCATATAAAATAATGCATAGAAATACCAACTTGGTGGTTGTTAGGTTCATTTGGCAGAAGGTAGCTCAACCTTACAAAAGGTGTCGAGATCCATAACGACAGCAGAGAGGGTAAGAGACGTCAAGGCCAAAGCTATCTACGTTCGTAGTACTCGGTTTAAGTATCTTTGCGTTATCACAGGCTTTGTCGACAAGTTCCATCTAAGCGGAAATACGGAGCTGTAGGGTGCTCATCTCATCGTATTGTTCGCGCTGTAGCAATAACATTGGCAGCAACAGCAGTCGTCCACAGTAGGAGCAGACAAAACCCAATGAGACGAGGTACGGGGGACTGGAGGCAGTCGGCTCAGAGTTCTCGGCTTAATAGCAGCAACAGCAGCAGCCGAAGGAGTAGTGACTGGATGTGTGTTTCGCAGCAGCGTTTATGTGCGTGATTTGCGTGGGAAAGAAGCCGATGCTGCCACAATAGTCGGTGCTGTTTGCGGGGACCGTTCCGGCGGTGTGAATAGAGACTGTTTGTTTCAAGTCGTTGTGTACAAGGTTTTATGGTGCGAACTTTACTCGACACGAAGCCGTTCTTTTGTGACATCGGCTATCAGGAAAGTTTCCATTGGGACAACTACGTTGAATTAAGTGAGTGCACGTGAGTAGCACATACGGACGGTCGATAGCGGTGAAGACGAACTAAACCCAGCCGCAGCTCCTGGCTGAGTGACGTGCTCGCACCTTTGCGGGAGGCCCGAATGGCCATGCCGCTCAGTGGAGCAGAAAACACAGCCGGCCAGAGTGGCAATGTACCCGCCTTCCTCAGCAAACTCTGGCGACTCGTCGAGGATTCGAAGTATGACGAGCTTATTTCATGGAGTTCGGTTAGTAGCATTTTCACCTATATATATAGATATATACATATATATATATATATATAGATATATATAGATATATACATATATATATATATAGCATCAGCACGTCATCTATATAAAATGTAGGGAAAAAATTTTTCTCAAAACGAACATACGCAAAGGGATATGCAATCAACGCTCACTGATAATCGTGCAAACTGTTTAATATTTTACCATAGCATCGGCAATGGCTCTGAAAGACTAGAAATGCCTGTAATTCATTCGAGAGTTTTTAGCCGTTGCGATAGGCTTATCCTAAGTTCGCGATGTCTCGTCTGTAAAATAGTCGTGTCCTTACTTCTTTTTACGTTCGATAGGGACGAATAGTTGTTGATAAATAGAAGTCTCCAGTAGAACATCCTAAAAAAGCCGAACTTCCTTTTCTAGGGAAGCGTCAAAGTGACATTATCTCGTACGGCAAATGCAATTGTTTAATCTGTCCGATAGCAATAAACATTAAGGGGTGACATTACTAGTTCCGAGACGCTCGTCACTGCAAATGAGATTAAAATGATTTTAAATTGTTAAAGTTTGAAAACCTTATTCAAATTAAGTTAAAATTCTTCTAACAGATCGTTCAACTAACTACGAAGCGTTTCTTTGCGTAGCATACGGGTTAATGACGTGCAGCTTCGACCTTTTTCTCTTAGATCTATTCTAATCCCAATGATTGATCAACCATTATCTCTAACTGCATACATTGCTTCTGCCACTGCAATGGACTCCGTCAACGAGAGCCTCGAACACATCCTATACACGATTAGCGATTATAATAAGTAAGACGGTAGAATTGTGTTACGATGTAGACAAATACTGTTTCAGCATACTGTGTCCCAAAAGATCTACGTGAACAGCTTTCCAGGTTTCTGTAAGACCAGCAAAAGCTGTGGCGAAAAGCAAATGGATGACCCTAGTCGAAAATAAGCAAACAGTTGCTATTAACTTGAATAAAGACACACATTTGATTCAGGAAACGATCAATGTAAATAGATAATAACAGCTACGAAAAAAAGGAGCTCCTAAATCTATAACATACAAATATAGATATAGGAAGAGAAAAACGGGAGACCCGGGAGGAAAGGGCATAATACCCTAGGACAGGCGAGTGTGATGTTCAAATGTGCTTATGCTGATGTGTGGCAGCGTGAGTATATCTGTGTGTGTGTGTGTTGTGTGTGTGTGTGTGTGTGTGTGTGTGTGTGTGTGTGTGTGTGTGTGTGTGTGTGTGTGTGTGTGTGTGTGTGTGTGTGTGTGTGTGTGTGTGTGTGTGTGTGTGTGTGTGTGTGTGTGTGTGTGTGTGTGTGTGTGTGTGTGTGTGCTTGTCGAAGGAGCCATACTTGGATATCAGGCTCGCTTGATTGATTATGTGTGTTAGGTCCGGCAGGCCTGGTAGGAAACAGCGTCATTGACCGATTCTTCAGAGCGCGGTTGCTAGGCAACCAAAAATGGCGAAGTGATCGTACTACTGGCTTTTGGTCAACTTACGTAGTGATCACGGTAACTAGACTAACTCATACGGGGGAAAGACGAGGCGGTAGACTTACTACGGTTAGTCAAAAGACAGTGTGACTTAGCGAGCGACGATTCCGCATGATAGTGGCCATTGATTCTTTGAAAAATAACTTAACTCAAAAGACAATACGGTAATATCTAGATATTTTACTCAGTTGAATGGAGTGGCTTAATGCCGTATCATCTATCATCTTAGCATACCGCAAGATAAACTGACTAGTATATCTTTAATTAAAAATTCTCTGTTCAGATTTTGCGTTCCGAAACTGCTCAGAACTGCTCCTATCAATAAGGCTTGCATCTCCATTATATTCTTATTATCTTTATGATTATTATTAAGTGAATTATAACCAAAAATAGTAAGTCCCATTTAAGAGAACTGTAAAAGCGTTCTTGTAGCTTTGGCTTGACGTTGCCATTTACCGGCAGCCGGTCAGGTGTATGTATAGCTGGGTGGTAAGCCCTATCGTTATTCGTAAACAACGTTGAAAAATACGGCTTCTTTGTTTTCGTCTAAATGACTTAGTTCAGGCGTCAATTTAACGACGAGGCAAGATGGAGCAGATCGGTATCTAACTGGGCTGGACTCTTATAATTTCTTAGCCGGTGTCCAGCTTTGGGCCCCTGTTGTATTTAGACCATGGGTCAGCTATAAATATAAAGAAGAAGCGCCTGAACCAATGGACGTCTAGGCCAAGCGCACGACCCAGACCCATAGATAAATTATATTATTATTATTATAAAATAATAAACGCAGAGAGCAAATTGCAACGACGAATGAATACTTAGGAGATATGACAATGGTAATAAGTATAATTAATTATTATTGCTAATAGAGCGCCACGACTGACAGGAAATGATAATAACTATTACTGACGATGGTAATGATGATGCTGAACATGATAATGAATTATTGTGAATACGTCTCTCTATTTATCAAAATAAAAAATACGATGATAAGTATATATAATAATAATTTACTGACTAAAAATAATAAATGCTCGTAAATAGAATAATATTTTGCCTTTTATCTTATTATATATATCTTTTATATTGATTATAATTGAACTATGCTCATACTAGCGTATGTTCTATTTGTTGTCCTGCCTAGAGATATTTGAAAAGATGTTGCTAACTCATTGTACAGTACAATAGGTCGAAATCGTAGTCCTTAAGAATATGCTTCTAGACGTAATGCAGGTAAGCGATGATTCTCGTGATACGACTCGGTTCAACCCGACAGCTTTGCCATTAAGGTCAGCTCGTTAAATCTTATAGCCTTGTTAAACATGTCT